CACGACAAGGTGCAGTTAGACTTCCTGACTGCACCCTCACATTGGTGGCCCATGTTCATCTTGGAATCAATAATGACTCCAAGATCCTTTTCTGCCCCCATGCTGATGAGAAGGGAGTTCCCCAGCCTATAGATATGCTGCTGGTTCTTTCTCCCTAGGTGCAGTACCTTGCACTTGTCAGTATTGAATCCCATCCTATTCTCATTTGCTAACCCCTGTAACCTGTCCAGATCTAGTTGTAGCCTGTCCCTCCCTTCTAGCATGTTCACCTCTCCCCACATCTTAGTGTCAAAGCCTGGCACCCCCCTGGCCAGGGCCGGGGGGTTGGAGACTTAGAAAGGTACTAAGGAAACTGGATCTACGCAAGTGTGGGCTTGAGCTTCAATAAGTTCATGCATGACACTGAAGCCCTACAACCCAGTTGCAGTTATTCCATTTATTGATGCAAAATGGAAAATTTGAACATACCAATTAAGGTCCCAAAGACTTTTGAAAATCAATTCCCTTCAATCTTGGGAAAATCTTTTGTAACTTTTTAGTATGAACAGGCTATTGGATGTGTTCTGAAACATAGTTCCCAGCACCAGGATGTTACAAAACCCCCAAATAGTGCTTTTTCTGTCTGGCTGCCCATAAAGTAGGATATATTCTAAAAGAGCAAGCTGGCCCTGAAGCAAAGTTGAGAATAGATCCTGGACAGTCACCCATGTGGCCCATAGGGAAATGTTTTTGTCAGCCTGCCTGAAACACAAGCACTCTGAGGCACAATTTATACACAGTAAATAAGAGAAAAAGAATACTTGTGGTATATAACTACTGTCAGTGGAGATATAGATGTATGTACATTTGGAGCCCTTTGAAAAAGGGAACATTTCAGAATGGTAGCAGCTGTTCCAACTGTTGTGTGTGGACAAGCTGAGAACGATACGAATGCAGGACAGTTGCTCCAACTTGAACATTGGGTGAAGCATGTTAAGGTGTTCTTCGTGTTTTATGGCAATGTACCTGGTAATTGTACAATACGGTTGTTGTGTAGTTTTAAGAATATGTTAGACAAACATTCATTTAGGATGGTTTGGATAGGGAAGACCCTGGCCTGAGCAGGGGGTTGGACTAGATGACCTACAGAGGTCCCTTCCAGCTCTAGTTTTCTATGATTCCATGGTTTTAACTTGGGTACTGCTGGTAGCAAAGAGCTCAGCAAAGGCTAAGAAATCAATTTGAGAAGTTGAGCAAATTCTCAGGCAGTTAACCCTTGCTGAGTGCCACGCTACTGCAGCTATATGTTTAGTGGAGCTCATGCTATCAAGCTTAAAGCAACGTTGCCGTTGTTTACGCGAGTTGGAGTCAATGCCATGGCTGTAGTATAGTCATATCCTTAGTTAATGGGCTGCTATTCTGGGACCTAGAACTCAGACCCAAACCAGAGTTGCTTAACATTTAACTTCTAAGGTGATTCACTTCTGTATTTGTAGTACAGCCCTGGACAGTCAGCTCTGATGAGCTTCCTTATCATTACCCATCACCTGACTGCCAGGGAATCGATGATTTTGTTAGATGAAAATGTCAGTCTTAAGCCCTTTTCCTTGCAGCACTGATGCCCAAAATGTAAACTTTTCCCTTGGGGGACTCACCAATGGAAAACAAGAGATTTTCTCATTAAAAGGGTTCCTTAACTGCCTGGTGCATGGAGAACACGAGTCTCCTGGGCTTGCAGTAGGTACTGATTGATGAGTGACCCATATCTTTTTGGAATTCCCAGGAAGTCCAGAGGAAGGGGAAGAAGCCCTCCCAATCTCCTCCCTGCCAAACTTCCTGCTCCCGCCATGCCCTATTCCAACAGCTCTGGGGAGAGGGAAGAGAGTCTGCCTTCCTGCACACTTAAAGCCATCCACAAGAAGGGGGAAGAGGCCCACACCCTGTCTCAAATTCCATGGACTATCATGTCATAAAAAATGTGCAGTGTACCCCAGCTGCAGGAAATCAGGGATGGGGGATGGATCCCCAGGTCTATACAAGGATGCTTCTTCAAACATGGCAAGCCTTACAACTAGGTGGGGGGACCACCTCAAACACACACCTTGGAAGCAGAACGTACTAGGTTGATCTCACGACGTGGGTTCATCAGACCTACTCTGACCTGATAGCACACTTTGGGCTGGGCAGCAAGGCGTTGGTAACTAAATTACTTCTACTCCCAGCTCTGTCCTCCAGAATTGCCTTTGACTTGGCTGTTTCTCTTTATTTCCTTTATAACAGGCTGTCCTTTCAAAAACACAAGCGGTGAGGTTGCTGGGATGCACTCAGCTTAAGCTGCTCATATTTTTGCTGATGCTTTCTGGGTAGCAGATTTGCATATCTAGTGTGAAGGTGACTTCTACAGAGAGACTGCAGTGCAGGGTGGCATAAATTGGTCATTTTCCAGAGCTAATATTTGCATTGCAGGAATGTCACTACAGCTGGGGCTCATTCTCAGAAAACAGTGGGACTCCTCCTCCCTCCCCATTCTGGGCTCAGGTTCTCTTGTGCTACCAGTGCCAGGTATTGTTGGACATAGAAAGGCAAGGAAAGGCAGGAAGGATTCAGGGGCAGCTGGAGAGTTGGGGCTGTGATGAGTACCTTTTCATGAGGTACTGCCAGCAGTTACTCATCCATTTTATTCCTAGGTCCTGCTGGGCTTCTGTGATTCAGACGTTCTTGCTGTCTACATGCATCTGATTCACCTGCAGAGATGCCTAAGACAGTTTTGGAAAGGAAAAGACAGAGGGAACCATTGCTCCAAATGTTTCTTGCCTTCCAAGTGGAGGGCTAGAGGCAGGATCATAGATTCATAGATGTTAGGGTCAGAAGGGACCTCAGTAGGTCATCGAGTCCGACCCCCTGCCCTGGGCAGGAAAGAAGATTCTGGCAACTCTTACCATTAAGTTCTTTCTAACGTCCAACCTAAATCTGCTCTCCATCAATTTGTGGCCATTGGTCCTAGTTACTCCAGGGGGTGCTCTAGTAAACAGAGTATCTCCTATTCCCTGCTGCCCTCCCCCGATGAATTTATAGGCAGCCACAAGATCACCTCTCAGCCTTCTCTTGCAGAGGCTGAAAAGATCTAGGTCCCTCAGTCTTTCCTTGTAGGGCCTTGCCTGCAGGCCCCTGACCATATGAGTGGCCCTCCTCTGAGGTCCAAAACCGGACCCAGCACTCCAACTGCGGGCTGACTAGTGCTGCATAGAGGGGAAGCATCACCTCCCTGGACCTGTTCATCATGCATCTGCTAATGCATGATAAAGTGCAGTTAGCCTCATTGATCACTTTGTCACATTGACAACTCATGTTCATCTTGGAGTCAACTACGACTCCAAGATCCCTTTCCACTTCTGTGCTGCTGAGAAGGTCATCCCCCAGCCTGTAAGTGTGTTGGTGATTCTTTTCGCCCAGGTGCAGCACTTTGCACTTGTCTTTGTTGAACTGAATCCTATTTTGCTCTGCCCATTTTTCCAACCTGTCCAGATCCGCCTGGATCCGTTCCCTGTCCTCTGGTGTCTTAACTTTGCCCCATAATTTGGTATCATCTGCTGTGGATCTAAATACAACTCTACTCAAGTTACTGAGCACAACAGCACCTAAATCTATAGTAATAATGATAATGATTATTGCCAAGCTATTATATTGTAATTTCCATCAGTACATCACAAAGCTCTTTGCCAAAGAGATCAGTACCATGAGCCCCATTTTTACAGACAGGGAAACTGAGGCACAGAGGAGCAAAGTGACTTGCTTGATGTCACCCAACAGGCTGAGTACTCTGCTGCACAACTGCCACACTTTGGGCACGTAGGGGCACCCCATTCCAAAGGATGCTCACATACAAGACCAAGTCTTCTCTGATGCATCTATACTTCAGACCCCTTTTTCTGTTTGTATGTGAAGCAACAGAAATGTAGCCCATAGGCATATTTGTGCCCATGCACAGCTGTTGCATTTGGACTGGTCCACCAAACAACACCAAATCAGTCTTCAAGAGTGATTGCTAGGGCATAGATTGTGGTGCTCTTTTTCTCAGTCTCTCTCCCTCTCTGTGGGGCAGAAGCTAGCCGTGATGCATCTGGAGCAGGACAAGGAAGAATCTATGGTCCTGGGATTCACAATCAGTTCTTTGGCTCTAGGCCCATACCAAAAATAGATGAGTTCCCCCTATGTATCAACTCAGCTCTGATGGGTATGCTCTGGGGTAATAGTGAAACAAAGTACTACCCACTCCTAGCCAGCCAGTGGAGAATGGAAATACCCAGAGCCTCTATAGAGCTGTTTTCCTCTATGCTAGTGAGAACAGGCTTTATGGCCTCTGTGCAGGCAGGTTGGGTAAGTGGTTCATTTTGCCTTAAAAGCAAAAAGATGCAGTGGGATTGAATCCTTATCCTTCTTGTTTTCTGCCCTCTGCTCTCATTCTTCTGTAGCCATGGAGAAGCAGTACACATAAAGCTAACTCAGAGAACAGAAAGATTAGCTACAATACAATGGAGATATAGAGAGCTGTGAACCTGGGAGCTGCATTTCAGTCAATGCAGGTAAACAAAGCCCCAGTGAAAGATCAGGGTAAATCTTAGAGGCCATAGCCCATTGTCCCTGGACCACAGTAATCAAACAGATAGAACCAACACAAAAGCCCATCAGATTGGCAAGATCAAGGGACAAAAGGGCCACAATAGCTAGCACTATTAAATGGGCATTAATAAATTGTTTGCACTGCTGGATTGTAATGAATACTGGAGCTTCAGAGGCTTTTCAGGTCAGAAGGGACCACTCTGTTATCTAATCTTGAGTTTCTGCATAGCACAGGCTGGAGGATCCTGCCTGGAACTCATAAGCTGAGTCTGTAATACTTGTATTCATTTTGCCTGAGACTCAGGATGAAAAATACAAACAAACAGGAAATTATTCCTAGTATGATGAAAAAATATTTTTGTGAGCTCATTGGTTTTTCTTTTCTCTCTCTCTCTTTGAAGGATGAGAAGAATCAGGTGTTGATAACAAATGCATGGCTCCAAATGGTGAGTAATTACTTTGTATTATCACAGGCTGAAAATTGCTATAACAAAAAAGTTGTTAGACATGATCCTATGGTGCAAGAGTATCCTGTTGTCTTCCATTCCATGAAACAAGTGATGGAAATAGAATTAAATCCTTGGAAACACTGAATAAAGCAATATGAAATGGGATTTGCAAGGTAGACTGCTAGGAACAGTTCCCACTGGTATAAGGACTCTGATATGGGCTTAGGGCCAATCCTAACTGGCTTTCAGCATTAGCTGGACACTTTGGGTGCCTATCCACGTACAGAGAGGCTGCTCTTATTCGTTGTAATTACAGTCTCTACTATTAATTGTGTTTAAAGTGCCCCCGCTGCCATTTTTCAGGGATGCTGATACATATGACACTCCAAGTACTTTAATTAGAGCAGCTCTTGGAGCCTCCTGGAGCACATCTATAAACACCCTTTAAGTCTATAGAACAGTGTTTACCAATGTTTTGATACCTGGGGCACACTTTTTTTCTGGATTAAAATTGGTGGCACACTTTACTTTTACACTGAAAAAGGTGTGTGTGTGTGTGTGTGTGTGTGTGTGTGTGTGTGTGTGCATTTTCTTTCAAAACATATAACATATTCCATTCCCCTGCCAGAAGAAATCATACCAGTGCTGAGATGTACTGTTTAAAAAAACCATGCTAAATACACCTTTCTTTCAGCCAATGATTAGTCTCCATAGCAGTGCTTTTCAACCTTCCTAGCCTCAAAGCCCCCCTCCATAATTTTTCTGGATTTGGCAGCACCCCAGTTGAAATAACAGAGATAGATCTAAATTCAGAAGAGATAAGGAGGGCCTTGAGGTTAAAAATATTTAAAGTCACTGCTCTTGCTGGTGCCACTTAAGGGCACCAAGGGCAGGACCTCCCTGCTGTGCGCTGCTCTTTCCACTGTCTGCCCCCTCCTGGCACCTTTTTCCGTACCTCAAGAGGCAAAGGCAGCCCCTGCTGGTGAGGCTGCTCCTACAGGGTCTCACAAGCTGACAATCACACCCAAAGCCCGTCCTGCCAGCCCAGAGAGCATGGGATGAGTGGAAGGGATGAACCAGGCTGCAAAGCACAGCTTCATCTGTGCATCCGCCCAACCACCCACTCGCAGCAGAGAACGCTGCTGGAAGCACGGCAGGGGTCAGTACAGGTGTGAAGGGATGGGGGAAGGTAGCAGCGGCAGCGGCAGTCCCCACAAGAGCAACCACAGATGTGGGTGTAGTAGCTGGAATAGGCTCAAGATTCTGAGTGTAGGAGGAAAGCATTTACCTCCTCACACAGGGAGATTTCCTGGCACAATAGTGCTGCATTTTGCCCTTCCCTAATCTAGCCTGTATGATCTATACTGATCATTCACCCTTTGGGAATCACTACCTTAGACATACCCAGTTATTATTTTAGCATTGAAAACAAAATGATGGGCCATATTAATTCGTTGTGTAACTATGATGACTCCAGTGGAGATACACCAGTTATGAACTTGAACTAAAAGCAAAGATGCTCCTAAGTGGAGGCCTAACATTAGACTGCTAAACCTATGTCTAGGCATTAAAATTGGAAGACTGATTTTCAAAGGGGATGGGCATTTGGCATTTCCCACTAAAATTGATGACTGGACCTTTCAAGGGATTGGAACACTGAAATTGCACTTTTTTTAGTGGGAGGTAAGCATCTTAGGCTCCTTTGACAATCCCAGCCTGTATCTCCATATGGTCATAGAAGTCAATACTTCTACATCCATATGGAGATACATGCTGTGGAAATCTTTCCACTCATCTAAGGAATTAGAAGCCTGAGTTCCATGTTGAGTCCATGGGGAGCAGACTCCTAAATCCATCAGGACATATTTATATGCTGGTGGCTGTGTGCCACAGGAGGGACACTCCTGCAGACACTCTGCCCACAATAAACCCAAACCCAGAAGTGTGGGCTCAAACTGCTGTAGAGGGGTTATCCTGTGTTTTTTCCCCAAAACCTCAGTCTCCAACATGCTTGAAAGCAGCTGATGGAGGGACCCCAGAGAGTTGTCCTTGTTTGTATTTCTGGTTTGGAGCAGGCATGTGGGAGAAAGTAGATGTGATATGCTTGGATGTGTTCCTACTAGGACATATAGCCACTGTGGTGTGGATATACCATTATGCACTCTTATAAATCACCTTCCTCTTTTGTATTTTAAACTGTGGCCTTCATTTATCCATTTTGCAAATAAGCTATGCCACCTGAAGAGATGGCCAGTATAGATCATACAGGCTAAATTAGGGGAGGGCACAATGCAGCCTACGGGCTGGATCCAGCCCACCAAGTGATTCTATCTGGCCCATGGCAGGTCTCTTGGCCTTACCTGGCCAAGGCATGGAAGGGCAGCTCAGGCTGTGATGTGTGCAGCTGGTCCTGCCACCCCTGGGTGCAGAGGTGCTGCCTGGCAATTTCTTTAGACTATAAACAACGCTAAAAATCCAAATGGGTGCAGACATTACTTTGTGAACTGAGTGCAAGCACCTGTCATTTTAATTTTTCTGTCACTTGTTAATAACCAAATAACACTTAAAAGTATACCGTCACTACTATTACTAATATTCTGTACATATATTAGTATAATATTCTGTACATTTCTGTACAACTCAAAATGTGTTCACGTTCCAAACTTACTAGAAGATGTTCTCTTCTGCTATTTTAACACTGTAGGATAAATAACTATTTATGCTTACATGTTCCTCCAGTATTGGATTGACGTTTACTTGTCTTGGGATCAGTATGAGTACCCGGGTGTCCAGAACTTACGATTTCCAGCTGATCAGATATGGGTGCCAGACATTCTCCTGTATAACAGGTAAGGAAGGTGAAAAAACACAGGACACAAATAAGAGCAAAAGCCTCAGCTGCTGTAAATCAGTAGAGCTCCATTGACTTCAGTGGAGTTTATGTCACTTGAGGATTTGGCTTATAGCATCAAGCAACGGAAATGAAACCGGATAAATGCTCATACAGAATGGAGCGTAGGGATGAAATGCAGTGTTATCTTAAAGAGGTTCTTAACACAGAAGTCATGTGAGGCCCTCAGGAATCATCTGTAATACAAACGTTAAGTTACAAATACAAATCTTGTGCCGATGTCTGGAAGTACAAATAATTAACATGGGTCCACAGAAATGTAAGATTGGAAGAAACCTCAAGAGATCATGTAGTCCAGAGCTGCCCAACCTCAGAGGAGCCTGGGGCCACATGCTGCATTGGTCATGGGCCTGGGGCTGCACATTGTGTGGGCTGCATGGCCTGTGGGCTTCTGGGATGCCTGATGTGCCAGCAATGTGAGCATCCTCCCTGCTAGCTGCTGCCAGATGGGTGAGTGCTTCCTCCCCCATGCTGTTGCCACAGGGGCAATGCGAGCCCACCCAACCCCATAAGCCCCTTGCTGCTGGTGCCATGTGGGCAAACCTCCCGCCCCACCCTGTCACTGCTGCCAAATGGGCAGTGTGAGCCCACCCTGCCATGAGAGCCCCTTGTAGCTGCTGCATGAATGAGCACCCACCCCCCTGCCATGAGAGCCCCTTGTAGCTGCTCCATTAATGAGCACCCCCCCTCTGCCACTGCCACACTAGCAGTGCAAGCCTACCCCACTGCCACTGCCCCCATCATATGAGCCCATTCTCCACCACTGTGCGATGCCCCCTCAACCTCCTACTCTGCTACATGGGCAGCGAGCTTACCGGCAGCTGTGCTGCCCTGTGCTGCCCTATCGCAGAGACTCTGGCTGCCACTTCATGGCAGGACCAATGGGTAGACTGGCGGCTGGGGGTGGAGGAGCCTGTGGGCCACACATTAACCCCTCATAGGCCTGATCTAGTCCAAGCCCCTGCATCGAGGCAGGATCATGGAGACCACCTGTGGCAGATATGCTCTAACTAGTTCTTGACATCCTCTAGCGGAGGTAATCCTAAACATCTTGTTCCGGTGCTTCACTTCCTTGTCATCAGACAGTATTAAGATCAGCTCTCAGTTCTTAATGTTCTCTGTGCTTAATTCCCTCGGACCTGATGAAGAATGCCTTGCATTTGAAAGCTTGTCTAACTTTATTCCAACCATGCAGCTGGTTCAATAAAAAATATCAGTCCCCGCCCCCCGCAAAAAAATCCTTGCATCTCACAAAACGTCCAATGTAATCCTTCTTTTCTGTCAATTAAACTGAATTTTTTCTCATTCTTTTTCTTATGGACATGGGGAACAATTTATCAGCGTCTTCTCCATAACATCCTTCTATGTACTGAAAAATGATTTAAAGTCTCAGTCTTGTCTTTTCTGTATTAAACAAATCCAATCCTGTCCTCCTTTCCTCATAGGTCATGCTCTCTAAACCTCTTGTCATTCTTTCTGCCCTGCCCTGGACTCTCTCCAGTTTGTCTACACCTTTATTAAAGTGCTGTGCCAGGAACCGGACATCATACTTTAGCTGTTACACTGGCAGAAGCACCAGTACAGCAAAATAATTACCTCCCCATGTCTAATGTACAATACTACTTTTAATACATCCCAGAATTAAATGTGCCTTTTCTTGCAACACTATTATTTGGTGCCCTGGGTATATTTTGTGGTCCACTATGGCCACCAGATTTGGTATTTTTTGCCATTTTTCTGTCCAGCCACATATTCCTTGTCTTAGTTTTGTACATTTGATTTTTCCTTCAGTAGTGCAGCATTTGATACTTACCTTCACTGAATTTTATCCTGCCGAATTTGGTCTGTCTATCCAATTTGTCAAGATAATTTTGAATTCTGAATCTGCCCTCCACTGTGCTCACAACCTCTCCCAGCATAGTATCATCTGAAAATTTGATAGGTGTACTCTATGTCATCCTCCAAGTCATTGTTTGCTACAAATTCTTAAAGATAATCGCAAATGGTTCAGCTAGTTCCTTAAGCACCTTAGAATGAATATAATCAACTAGTGTCAACTTGAATATATCCATTTTATCTAAATGTTCTTTAACCCGTTTTCCCTTGTTCTGGCTTGCACTGCTATTCCCTTGTTAGAATTAACTGTACTGAAGTATCTGGTCACAGCTGACCTTTTTTATTTTAAAAGTAAAGACTAAAGCAAGCACTCAGTGCCTCATCCCCTTGCCTCATCTAATATTTGCTCCCTTTCCCTATTCAGCAATGGCTTCCCTTTTTTCCTCCTCTTACATCTAACACTTTTATAGAACATTTTTGTTGCCTTTTATGCCCCTTGCTAGTTGTAACTCCTTTTGTGCCCTTCCGATCTTATCCCTACATGCCTGTGCTATATTTTTTTACACTCAGCCTTAACTGCACCTTTAATTGAGCATCTTTCAACAACTGCCAGATCTCTTACTCTTCTGTATCTCTCAGGTTATCTTTCCAAGAGACAGTGCTTGCCAGTGCCCTGAGTTTGTTGAAGTCTGCTTTTCTGAAAACTATTAGCCTTATTCTGCTACTCTTACACTCTACTTTCTGCTGCTACTCTTCCTTTCCTTCGAATGATGAACTCTTATCTCCTCATGATCACTTGCACCCAAACTACCTTCCACCTATAAATTCTGTCTCAGCACATTCCTCCCCATTAATGCAAACCAGATCTAATAGCTTCTTCCCTCTTCTAAAACACAATTCTGTCTCTATGGCTTTCCAAGAATTTGATGGACTTTGTGTCCCACTACATTGATTTTCCAGTAGATACCGAGGTAATTAAATTTCCCCATAGTCAACAGATCCTGTCCTTAGGATACTTCTTTTAGGGTGTATCTACACGTGCATATTAATGTACAGCAAAAAACTCTAGTACATATTGCACGGGGGTTTATTGCTGCCAGGTACCATGTTTACACGTGCGCCCAGGACTGCAGCATGTTGAGCCAAGTTGGAGCAGCCTCGGCTGGCAGAAGGCCTGGGGGGTAAGCCTGCCAGCCCAGGGTTGCTCCAACCCAGCCCACTGTGCTGTGGAGAGACTGGCTGGGACGTATTTCACAGGGGTATTTCACTGAGGGGCTAGCCAACAGGCAGCCCTCACACTGAAGCACCCTCATGCCCCAGCCAGCAGGGTTAGTGTCTACACATGCCTTGCTGTGCACAAAAAAACTCTGCAGCAGGATAATACTTGTATTTACAAGTAATAACCTTCTGTGGAATTTATTAGTTTCCGTGGCCTAATAGGGCCATACGTGTAGACATTGAGATGTTTACTATGGAGCTAATTAGGCAACTCTACAGTAAATGTCTCATGTTGACATTTTTTTAGATGCTCAAAAATAGTCCCTGTCACCTTCTCCTCCACTATAGGTGGTCAAAGAGAGATAAGTTAGCCATGTTAGTCTGACGCTAGGTAGAAGACATGTTAGAGACTGATTTAGAGAAGCATTAGCTTTCATAGGTGACAGTATAATTCATTTGAAGCTTATGGCTCCCTGAATCAGTTAGTCTCTAAGGTGTCACTCTGCTCTGTCTTCTATGGGTGAGCAAGAGTAGATGCTTCTCATGACATGATCTTGATTTTCCACATTTTTATCTTCATCCAGAGACATTTCACAAACTTGTCCCTAATACCTTCCAGCACTTCCAAACAAGTGCTTACATTTCTGACATACACTGCGACCCTTTCCCATTTTCACCCTATCTGTCCTTCCTGAATACGTTACACTTTTCTATGCCAATGTGCAGCCCCATTGTATGTTCCACCCATAATGCTCTTTGTTTTACTGACTTCTCTGCTTTCATATTTTTTCTGGTGAAATATGTAGTTCTGGTACAGTCAGGTAGCAAATCAGATGGAGTCAGCTTTGAAAAATGTCAGGGTTATATATTTCTAAAAGACTGAAAGTAGGAGTTAGCCAAAGCTAAAGTCAATGGAGAGAGTCCCAATAACTTCCTGAAAACCAGCCACTACAGACTGCTGTGTTTTTCCCTCAAGGCCCCACCATGTCCCTTGTGCTTCAGAAGGCTCCCTTCCCTATCCTGCTATATCACTCTGGCCCACAACACCCTCTTGTCATTAAAGAGGAGCTTCAGTGCCCAGGAAATACCATGCCAAGCCTAGTACCTTCTAATAGGAATGAGGCATCATGGGGCCAGAGATTACAAAGCATTCAATCCACGCAACTGAGACCAGGTCTCCCAAAGCACTCAGCAGCCCACACTGGCTGCTGTCTTGGCATCAAGTGTGCCAGGATCTTTTAAAAGTCTGGCCCTCTCTGTTACATGCCCAAAACAGGAGCACACCTCTTCTGAATATCTCCGTCTAGTGCTCAGGGAGGTCAGCCAGAGGAACTGGGGCCTGAATCCTTAACCTATCTGGTCCAGACACTACAGAAAGATTCAGGTTTAGTTTGGAAACAAGGTACACATTTAGTCTAAGGCAGGTGTCAGCAAAAGATGGTCCATGGGCCAGATCCAGCCCCCAGAGCCACAGAGCTTTGCCTCTGCCTGTGACTATGCTGGGTCTGAACATCAAGGAGCTGCACTGGGGCCAGGGAGCTAAAAGCTGTGCCCATCCATGCCACTGCCACTTATCTCTGCTCCCCACCCCTTTCTGGGGCTGGGATATGGGTGCAGCTTCCAGCTGGAGGGGAGCAGCACTTAAGCTGGGCAGCTGGAAGCTGTGTCCTCTCTTCACCTCACTCTCCCTACCCAAGCTGTGCTGCAAGTGCAGCTTCCAGCCAGAGTGGAGCTGCGCTGGGGCTGGACTGCGGGGGAGAAATAAGAACAGCATGGAAGCAGCTCCCAGCTGCCCAGCACCAGCATAGCTCCCCACCAGTTGGAGGCTGCACTTGCAGTGCTGCCAGGAGTGGAGGCTTGGAGAAGCAGTGGTGGCACGGGTGCAGCTCCCGGCTTGGTGGCTCTGCAGAATATGCAGAGAAAGCCCCTTACAGCTGACATGCTGTGGAAACCACCATGGCCTGAGAAATGTTGCCAGCCTGTAGTCTAACAACATTTTGCAAGGACTTGTCTATCTGTCCCTAATATACCCAGCCCCAGCCACCCTTCACTCAGGAGTTCACAATTATTTACTTGGTTGTTCTCTGTATTTTGAATTCAAATACCTGTTGTCTCTTTCTTTTTATGTTATGCTTTAGTGCGGATGAAAGATTTGATGCAACATTTCATACAAATGTGTTGGTGAATTACTCTGGCTCTTGTCAGTACATTCCTCCAGGTAGGAGACAGATTTTGTTTGTTGGTTTAAATCATTATGCTTTCATAACTACAATAAACTCACTGTCACAGAATTCTCCTAAAACAACTGATTCGATTGTTTTAGAAGCAGGTACAGATTATGATTATGGGACAGACTTCCTAAAAAATAATATTTTCTAAAAAAAAAAATAATCTCCCAAATCACAGAATCATAGAAAAGTAAGGGTGGAAGGGACCCCTAGAGGTTATCTAGTCCAACCCCTGCTCAAGGCAGGATTATCCCCATCAAGACTAGCACAAGCAGATCTTTATCTAACCTATTACTAAAACTATAAAGGCAACACTGTCACACAACCACAAAGCATAGCACCCTAACCTGCTGCAGGCAAAGCAGGAGGACAACAGTGGCCAATACAATATTGTTTCAAATACACTCAAGAGATCCAAGGAAGAGGGCTACACCCCCTGCTACCAAGGAAGGCAGAAACCAAACCCCCACAGTGCATATGAATCTGACCATAGGTTAAAATTTCTCCCTGACTCCAAAAGTGGTCACAAGTCCGACCCTGAGTAGAGGGACAAATCCTTTTAGCTAAGAATCTCCATGTTTTAGTTCCAGCAGGAGCACTGGCACCCCCCCCCAGTCAAAATCCCCAGCCTGGGCTGCACCCAAAACCCAATGCTTCTGAGGAAGACAAAAAAATCCAAAAAACGAATAAACAATTAAACCCCAACAAAAACCAAGGACTGACATGTATAGTATAATATAGCATAATTAGTAAGAGCTAAGATGGGTCATTTCCATAGTAGCCCTTACTTGGCGCGTCTACACGAGATGCTTAATGCACAGTAGCCTAAAAACACTGTGCAGTAGCATGCCAGGCAAAAACCGTGCTAATATGCTACTGCACAATAGTATTAGGCCACTGCACAGCCAGCATCACTAAAAACCTGTGGGCTGGTGCTGCTGTGCAGTAACTCTAGTTACTGTGCATTTAGTTAGTACTTCATTAAGCAAGTACTAAATTAAATGCACAGTAACTACTGCGCATTAATGAATGTGTAGACATGCCCACTGTAACTAACATCAGAGTTCAAACTGGTAGAATAACATTCTATGTCTGTGATCTATCTTGAATTAATTATTCTATGAGCATATTTAGAAAATTTTTCACTAACTATTAAAGTGGTCCATAATTTAACAAGTACCAGAATGTCTTGGAAATATATATTCAACTATAATCATGCAAAGTACAGTACTCTCAGACAGTTGAGGGAAGGGATGTTACCATGTGTATTCCACCCATTTGCTCCTGCTCACACGCTCAAAGCATGGAAATGTGGCAGTAAAGCTACTCCATAGGTCTTTCACTTTTGCTGCTCTTAAAATGCCTGTCTCCAAAGTGCTTGAGAACAGCTACTCTGAATGCTGCCAGAGGCCACGTCCACACGAGCTTGGGCATGCATTTGCAGCAGCACAAATTTGTGTTGCTACTTTGTGCTGCAGTGCACACCCTGCTGGTGCAGTTTGCAGTGGGACATGTCCCTCTGCTCTACGTGCTGCAGGGGCGGTGGGGGATGGGGCTGGCTGGGACACACGGTGTCTCAGTGCAGGACTAAGTGGCAGGCAGCTCCCTGGCTGGGGCAAAGCATGCCTTGAGACAGGGAAGCAGGCGCTCAGGCTCCCCTGTCTTGGAGCTCCTGCACTGAGGCACGCAGAGACAAGGGAGTAGCCAGGCCAGGGCTGACTGGTCTCCTGTCTCAAGGCACACTTGTGCCCCAACCAGCTGGAGAGTGGCTGGCTGGGGCACAGGGTGCCTCAGTGTAGGGGCTCTGCAGCACATGAGTCTCTGCATTTCTCCCGGCACACGACACTTTGGTGTGCTTTGTGCAGTTTTTTTTGCAGGGAATTTCTTTTGCTACTGGGAAATCCTGGTAGCAAATTTTGCCCCAGTGCTGCAAATTAGCATCAGGGTGCCCTGTTTAACATGTAACGGATGTAGTTTGTGGTGCTGCAAAGAGGTGGTCATATTTCTGAGCTTGGTGTGTGCAAGTGGAGGTAGGTAGTTGGGCTGTCTCTCTTTGAAAGCATTGGCTGTGCATTGTAGACGTGCCTTGAGAGGCACAACTCATTGGTCCTACAACCAAACGATGTGCATCAGAATAGTATTCTTTCCTGAGGGCAAAAACTTCTAACCACATCACTCCAGGGCACTGCTAGAGGGCACTATCGCCTCCACAGGGGTCATCTGTGTAAGGCAGGTGTGATGTTGAAAAATTAACCATGGATAGTCGAGGAGGGCTTTCTGCTGCCCTGAAGTTGGATATTCTGACTAAAATCATCAAGCTGTGTATACTATCCCTCAAACAAAGGTGAATTGTGGAAGCTGAGAGACTCTAATGTGAGAAAAAATGCAGTATGCTCCAAGTGGTTTAGCAGAAAATAAGATCTCTCTCAAAAATCCCTTGCTATTAAGTTTCTCCTAAATCATAGCCTGATTTTCTCTAAGTACTGGAGGTACTTGTTTCCACAGGAGCCATAAAGGACCTATTTGGTGGCTTAATGTTTACCTCGGTCCTTACCATAATTTAGAGCAACCTTGTAGATAATTTAAAGTGTGCCAGACAATAATGCTTGCTCAGGCCAAGATTTATTAGAATTGCTTGAAGAACCCTTTCACTCCCTTTGGGGGCCTCAGGGATGGATGATAGAGGAGCTATTCATACTAGGCAGATCTGACATTCTTCAGGTCCCTTTTACCAATAACTCAGCTTAATGAAGAGATTCAGTCCCTAACATTTCATTCTAACTTAATTTATTCTTAACTAAGAGTTCTGTAGAGAAGGAACAGGAGCTGGTGGTGATGACATGGTTTTAGCATGTCTACTGTATAAAATTCCGGTTAAACCCTTACTTTTATTGAGCACTCAAATTCTGGCAAAAACCTAAATCAAATCTACTTTAGAAGGCAAATACTTGTAAGCAGCATATTTAATCAGACCAGAAGCTGGCATGAGGGACTAAATTAAGCAGGATACAGTAAATCACTCTAAAACGTAAGACACAGTACTCTCAAACCTTCATGAAAGTTTAATTTCATTTGACTCAAACCACAGGTTGTACCACTACTGCTGCTTCCTATAGAAATAAGCTCTGATAGATACCGTAGGAGAAGAGGGAAGGCTTGAAATGAGACACATTTTGAGGAATAGGATTCAAGAGGTGCTGGAGTAGGACCAGACCAAATGTGGGCATGGCAGCCAGAGATAGGTTGACTGGCAAGCAGAAGAGCAGGAGGGATGCTGGTCATTCAGTGGCAAGGCCATATGCACACAGAAGTATGTCACAACATCTTTGGAAACACTACAACAGATGGAGACAGGAACCAAGTGTCTCTATTTTCTAGATCTAAAATGTTCAGAAATCAGATATTTGCCATTTAATGTGAATGAGGCTCTTTTAAGGCCCACACCTCCAAATGGAGGCTCACAGAGCTGTTAACCACAATAGGGAATTTAGGTCCTGGGTCACACTAATGGCTCATCTGAAAAGAAGTATTCCGAACTGCAAGGACCAGTACATGTCTTGAGGGGATGTTATAACAGAGCAGAGGGGCCCTATGAACTTTCCACACTTACTAGGAACATGGGATGACAATGAAAAGAGTGAGGCTGTTTATGGGCAGGAGTTAGGACTTGGAGCAGCAAGGGAGGGTGGAGGTGTCTGGCACAAGTAGGGTGAACTCACACTTTCAAGGTTGACCTTCAGCCCCAAAGCTCTCTCCACAGTCTGCTGCTGACAAGCCAAAAGGTGAACTCCTTGTGCTGGATACCTCAGATCTACCTGTCTCACCCAGGCCTCTCCAGCTTAAGTAGAGGAGATTTTGCCAACTTAAAGAATAACATCTTTTGTCCAGTGTGTGTTTGGCTCTTGCTTCTGTAGGACTGATCAACCTGTCTTGTCAAATGCTCTGAAATCACATTTACCACAGGCAATAAGTAAGGTATAATACATAATGAAAAGTTTTATTACAGAAACAAATCATAAAAACAGCAATGTTTATTGACTTAAACCAGGGCTGTCCAACTGGTGGCCTGCAGGCCACGTGCAGCCCATGAGGGGTTAACATATGGCTCCCAGGCTCCCACTTGGCCATTGCTGATCCTATCACTCTGGGTGCAGTAGCAGCTGGGGGATCAGGGGTCACCCCCTTCCTCCCCTAGTTTCTGCTGCATGCACCTTTTGAGGGGGAGTGGGGGGAGCCAGCAGCCTGGAGTACCCATGCAACAGCACCACAGGGAGCCCATAGAGAGCTTAAGGTGAGGTGAGGTGTCACACCGTGCAGAGCAGCACCTGCACATAGGTGTGCACAGTGCAGCAGCAGCAGCTGGGAGCACCTACCTGCATGTGTGCATGTGGGGCATTCACCCTGGGGAGTGGGGGGCTATGCCCCTGCTAGTGCTGCCCCCATTGTATATGGTTCCCACCAGTGTGGCCCTTGGAGCACATTGCCCATGGCCACTTTAAAGCTGGCAGCCCTAGACCAGTGGTGCTCAACCTTTTAACATGGTGGGGTGGGTGCTTGCAACCTGGCTTCACTGCAGACCACTGCTACCTTGTGGCAGGAGAGAGGGACAGGGCCAGAGTGGGAGGAAGGAGGTAGTTTCCAGTGTCAGACTGAGGATGGGAAGAGGGGAGGGGAGGAGTCAGGAAGAGAGCTTATCTCCAGTAAACAGCACCTGCTGTAGGGGAGGGAGAAAGAGGGGAGTAAGCAGCTCCTGCTATAAAGGAGGGGAGAAAAAAAGTGGGAATGTCTATAGAGGGCATCAGGAGCCTATCCAGGATTTAGCAAAGAGGGGTTGTGGAAGGAGACACCAATGCTGCTCCCCCCCCCCACTGGTGTGGGCAGATGGCACTGCTGGAGCCTGTGGGGACTTTTTTTAAAGTCCCCCAAACAGGTAAGAATCCCTTCCTTCCCCTTCATGTTCAGAGGCACATCCCTTCCCCTTCCCTTCCCTCCCCCACCTGCTGCTACTGCCTTCCCTTCTGCTCCAGGCTGGGGAAGCTTCAAAGCCCCTCCTGCCCACTCCAGATAGGTTATGTGGGGGGCTGGACTCAGCTGGGACAGCAACAGCAGTAGCAGCAAAGGTGAGTGAGGTTGGATTCCCTCAGCCTGCCCAGTCCCCCGGGGAGCAGGCATGGGAAGGGGGAACCCCCTGCTCATTGCCGCTGCTTCTGTCACTGTTCCTAGATGTGCCCATCCCTTTGCAGCCCAGGTGAAGTGGGCAGGAATGGCTTTGAAGCCTCCCCAGCCTGGGGCAGCAGGCAAAGCATAGCAGCAGGTTGGGGAGGGAGCAAGGGGATGTGCCTCTGAGCATGAAGGGGAAGGGGGGATTCTTCCCTGCTTTGGGGACTTTAAAGTTCCCAGAGGTTCCAGCAGTGTGTGAGCCAATCCACAAGGGGGGTGCAGGGACCTGTCTGGAAACCACACACTACACCAGTAAACCTAATTCAGGAAACCATCTACATGGCATTCCACAAACACCCCAAAATATTCCCACTTTTGGAGTAGGTTCATGACAAAGTGATTAGAAACAGCAGGATCATGGCAGCAGGATGGGGCACAACCCAGGTGTTAGGGCCCAAGCATAGGATTTGAGAGACCGAGTCCTTGCTTTGCCACAAGCTCTGTGTGTATGATCTTTGACAAGTCACTCAGCTCAGATAAAAGCACCTCCCCTAATTCACATTGATATTGTGGGGAGAAATACATATGTCCAAGCAGTGCTTAAATACTACAGTAAGAGGTGGCATAAAAGTGCCTGAAAGAGGAAATCACAGCATCCCAAACTGATTGATTTATGGCACTATTTTGTGTTTGGGTGAAAAATAAGTTCTGTGAGATCTGCTGAGGGGAAGACCAGATGCTAATGTAGGACCTGGTTTGAGCAGACTGAAGGAACAGCAATGGAGTTGCACATGCATGCCCCCACTCTGAATGTGTTTACCTGCACTCAGGCTATGTAAACTCCAAACAGTAGAAAGATCACGTTGCTAGGAATGGGTGTCAGGACTCATCATGGCTGACTGAAGCCCAAATGCACAGCTTGGCTAGCCAGTCTGCCCACCTCCAGGGCGGGGGGAGGAGGCACTTGCCTTGTACAGCCTGCAGAGCTGTGACAGCCCTTCCAAGGCCTCTAAAGCAGCGTAAGGACTGCAGTCCCTCTGCAGAGTTCACCAGACAGATTCCTTACCAGTTGTTGATGCCATTTCATTCCTCTCTGTCACCCTCAAGGGACAGACACGCCAGAATTATTTGCACGCCTAAAGCACAACACTTTTTTATGAAGCAGCACTTGACACCTAAAAGAGAGTAATGGTCTGTGACAGTGGGATCCTCATCAAGATGGAAGAAAAGGAAGGGGTGATAAGTCAACGGGGTGTCAGGGCAAAGGCAACCCAACAGGACAGGACTAGATGGTCACAAAGATGCAGATGAGAGTAATCCAGTTACTGTTTCTTACAACAGGGAATTGCCCTCTTGTTATTATAATAGCATAATGATATCTGGGGGCTGGGGGCTAGAGCAAGGCCCTCTGCTGTAAGGCAGACACATGATAATAGACAGTCCCTGCCCCAAGGAGCTTACTTTGTAAATTGACAATGCAGATAATAGAGGGATGGGAGGAACTGAGGCACAGAAAGGGGAAATGACTTATTCAAGGTCATAAAGCAGGTCAGAATTTGATCCCAGGTCATTGGAGTCCCAGGCTGGTGCCCTAGCCACTAGGCCCTACTGCTTATGAGGAATAATGAATTCTTCCAACCTCTGAGATGCCCAGATTTCCTGCCAAGCACAGGGAAAGCATTTGGAGGGCTCTGCCATATTCCTGTATTTACCTCTCAGTTGAAGACTTACAAAGTGTACAAAGAAAAACAATACACAATTATTCTAACATTATAAAAGGCTTTGTCTTCTGTCTGTCCGTAATGCTTTATTTGCACTCTGATTGGCTGACTGAAACAATCAATCAGAGTGCTCCAAGAGCATTCGGACAGGAGATGGTGCGGCAGAGTGCTGCCATGATGGCAGGGACACAGGGGATGGAGCGGGGGGGTGCAGGCCAGCAGGCAGCAGTGATGGAGCAGGGGGAGGAGGGGAGCGGGCTGATTTCCCCCTTCCCCTGACTGGACAAGAAGTAGGGGTGGGGATGGATGTGGGGGGATGTGGAGCCGCAGGCCCCAAGAAAAGCCGGCAGGAAGGAGGAGGGAGAGAGGGGGGCGGGAGAGGGAGGTGGGGGCATGGTGACAGTGCCCCACCACCGCTGCGGCCAGGCCCTGCCAACAGCTGGGAGGGAGGGAAGGAGGGGAGTGGGGAAAGGAGGTGGATGTGGGCCAGATGGACCTGGAACACAGGGGCAGGGGTGTGGTGCCGGACCCAAAGCGGGGGGAGCGAGGAATGGGCCCAGAACAGTAGTGGCAGGCGAGGTGGGGAACAGGCCCGGACCCGAAGGGACAGGGGCCAGACCCAAAGTGGCAGGGGAGCAGGACCGGGGGCTGGACATGGGCCTCTGTCCCCCCTGCCATTCTTGACAGGCAATTGGCTAGTAAATAATAATCTCCTACACCATTTAAAATGCCACATGAACATTTATATCAGACCAGACAGGTCTGGAGAAAACAAACCAAGTATGAAGACAGATCAGTGAATAAGAAATAATGACATTCTGTAATGAGATTTAGGGAAATAGTGTCTTATTCAAAGGCAACACTGGGCTATTAGCTGGCTTCAGAGATGTCAAAAGCTGAGCAGACCCCAAGGTTTGTCTCTTTCAGAAATGGCTTTGAAAAGGCATTCTCTCATGGTTCCCACAAGCTTCTATACTCTGCCACATTCATCCTCAGGCAGATACCAAATTTGCCCTATGGCCCTGCTGTTCTGTGGATCCTAATCAGCCCAAAGAGGCAAGGGGAGTACATCTGATGGTGCTCAGGGGGAAGAGATGAAGGTCCCAGGGGCTTATGATTTTCTGTCCGCCAATACTGAGGATGGGCTGAAGGGAAAAAGCTATCTTCACCCACAACAGCCCTGAGGGGCTCTGACTTGCACAACAGGAACTAGGACAAAGACATTGAAACTAATTATTATTTGGCTAATAGTGACTTCTGTCTCTATACGTACCAAACTGCACTGTCTGATGGGCAGCGTAGGCTGCAGCAGCATGGGACGGGGGGGATCATGTGGGGCAGGCAGGGGGCATGGAGGGAAAAAGGATTAGAGGGAGAGGGAAGGAGGGAGATGTGCAGGGTGACCTGCAGTGTGTTGGGTAGAGTGCTGGGAAGTCAGAGACCCTGTTTCAAACCCTTCAGCATGAGGCAGGAGCAGGCCATCCAGCTTCCTGGGTGAGTGCCTAGCCACCCAGCTAGGTGGGGGAAAAGATGGAAGTAGGTGACTCACACTGTCTTCAGAACATATTACTAGTCTGGGCATATACGTAGCTCCCCAGGTGTGTAGGGTTACACATGCAGAATACAAATGCCAAGCTGTGCATACATGGCTTTTTTGGGACTTAGACAATAACGACTGATTGTCTAGGGATCCAGATAAGAAAAGAATGCCATCATCAGGATATAGGGCCAGCTCCTAGATGAGCACATTCCATTTTAACACAGTCCAAACTGATAAAAGTTTCACTGAGATAAGAGCAGATCTGACTGACTGAGAGCTGAGAAATGTCAGTGAGGGTGACATGTGACACTGGGGGATGTGGTGGCAGAGTTGAGGGATAACAGTGGGCGCAGAAGCATGAGGGTGAGCCTCATTGCAGATTCAGGCTAAAATCACAGACCCACCTGTAACCGGATATAGCACAGCACCCTAACCAGCAGACTGCTGTTCACTTGAGAGTCAGAAGTGACCAGACATAATGCTAGCCACATCATTCCCTTGTGTGCCATTGGCTACAGAAACTGGCATAACCCACTAGGCTCAGGCAGATGCTTGACTTGAGGGACAGCTCCAAGGAGAATAAGGATGGCAAGAAAAACAGGGGACAAACATCGGGGATTTGTATGTGTGTTAATGTACCATGGGCCACCAGTAGTATAAGTAGACACAAATCCTTTGAGACCAATCACAGCACACACATTTGCACCAGGAAATAAGATGATCCTTTCACGGTTTGTTTTTTCTTAAACAAAAATCATGTGTGTCAAGAACTATGAAAATAATTTGGCTCCAGAAATCGCAGTACCCCTTGGTGAAGCAGCGTGGCCAGGAAACCATTGTTCATCTAACTTAGCTGCGAACTTCATCTGGTTGTATTCAGAGTACTAAGATTTCCAGAGGATCTCAGAACATCATTCCCATTCTTACTTGCGTCTCAGAAGTGACACGTCTGATTCACTGATTTTTTTTTTTAATCTGTAGGCATTTTGAAGAGCACGTGTTACATTGACGTCCGCTGGTTCCCCTTTGATGTACAAAAATGTGATTTGAAATTTGGTTCATGGACCCACAGTGGTTGGTTGCTCGATCTGCAGATGCTTGAAGCGGATGTTTCCAACTACATATCAAATGGAGAATGGGATTTAGTAGGTAAGTTAGCTTACTAAAAAGATGGACAAGAATCTAAACTTTTACAGTGAAAATAAACAAACAGAAATAGAATTAATAATCTTATCTGGACATTTGAAATACTACTTGAAAAGCAGCAGAAATCTCAAAATTAGATTCCAGACAGTGTTTCACATTCAGTCACCACTGTTCAGCAAAGCTAAGGACATTAAACAAATAGAATCCTGTGGCTATAACACTGTCACAATCGATAATCCATGCATTTCTTCTGACGTCAATAGTTTTGCACAGTTTCAACTGAATTTGGACCAGTGTGTCTTTTGTAGATACAGCAAACATCATAGTACATTTGTGTAACCCATTTCATTAAAAAGGCCACAGGAGTAGAAAACCCAGGGTTAGTCAAATTTGGAAGGAACTCTTGCATGAAAAAAACGTAGGACTGCAAACATCTATTCAATCAAGTCAACAGTTGCATGCTCCTTCTGTTCAGTGTATTCTAACAATTCCTACTACTGCTCAAGTCATAGCATCTGATGAAGTAATCTGTTGCTTATGAAAGCTCATGACTCTGAACCAGTTAGTCTCAAAAGTACCATCCTGACTTTTAATGTTCAGGTCCATTTCCTGAACTTGGCCTCTTTGGGCTTGATTCTGATCTCACTTGAATGGGTGCAAAACTATTGAAGTCAAGAGACTTCAAGAAGTCTAAAACCAGTGTCATCAAGTTCATAATTGCAGTAAAAATTTGACTGGTAGGAGCTCTGGACCTATTACAAGATGTCAAATTCAGCCTCTAGAGAAGTCAGTCCTGAGATACTGAACAGCAGCTTCTAGCTACCATTTTAACAAGCTATCTGTAGAAATCTTATCTGTATATAATACACATGAACCCAATGTAGCACTCTTGACTTGAAGAGTGTGCTGCCATCTGAGCCAAATTACAGGTAGCCCTTGCAATGACTAGAGGTTGGTAGCTGCAATGCAGTGTCTTGAGATGGGGCATCTTAGAGGGGACCATCAGGATCCTATGTTCAGGGAAGCTAAAGGAGTCTAATGTAAGGGAAAAGCAATCTAAGGTCACAAAGGTCAGAGCTGCTATTTTTCAAATGCTTCTTTACAGTCTGCCCCATTTGGTTATTTCTAGCTTGAAATCCTACCTTCAGCAAATGCATGTGCCAAACACATTTGGTCCCTAGGTTCCCTGCATTTGTCCCATGAAGCATAGATGGGATTGTGCCATCTCTCAAAACACTCAAACCACAGCCAATGCAAAAATAGGATTAGATCAGCAGCTGACCTAATGCTGCCATGCCCTAATGTGCTTCTGGTAGAAATGCCCTAAAGGATGCAGAGGCTCTTCCTCCTTTGATAACTTCTGTGCTGTGACTGTTCCTGCTAGAAGCAGGATCAGGCCCCCAGACATCTACTACAAATAGGACCAAGATAGACTGACAGACAGCCATGGAGGACCAATACATCCTCTCACATCCTAACCTCAGACTGACCACTGCAGCTTTTGGCACCCATTTTTGAAAATTGCTGAGAGATATTTGGCACCTCTCAGGCTTGTTATAATGCAGTGTGGTTTGTTCTTCTGACAAAACAAGGCCAATGCACACAAAGTGGAGGGAAAGGGAAAGAAAAAAGGAATCGCTAAAGACAAGAAATGACAAGGGGCACATGTAGCTGCACCCACTGTGTGGCACTTCCGTGCACATTTTGGGCCATATTTACCAAAGTGTTCAGCGTTCATTGAAAACAATCCCCAGTGCAAGAAATAGGAACTACAGTGAAATGAGTTTTCACAGGATTTGAACATACAATAGGAAGGTCTCTAGGTGCCTAGACCACTAAGCTAGCTCTTCTGGCTACTCTGCAGGCCATGGATGTATAGATTTGCCACTAGACTAGATGGCAGGAGACCTGGGTTCTATTTCTGACTATGCCACTGATCTTTTGAGTGTCCTTGGACAACTCTCCTCTCTCTCCCCATCTCAGCCTCCAAGCTACAAGATCTTTGGGGCAGGGACTGTCTCTCCCTATCTGTATGTAGTGTCCAGCACAATGGGTCCTTGATTACAGTTGAGACCAGCAGGTGTGGTGTAATTCATGTTATAAACCCAAAGCCAGGAACGCAGCCCCTCTTCCCACCACACTGGTTTCCCTCTGTGCAGGTGTGCCAGGGAAGAGGAACGTGTTGTACTATGAGTGCTGCAAAGAGCCGTACCCAGATGTGACTTACACTGTGACGATGCGACGGCGCACCCTCTACTATGGCTTGAACCTACTCATTCCCTGTGTCCTCATCTCGGGCCTGGCACTGCTTGTTTTCCTCTTGCCAGCTGACTCAGGGGAGAAGATTTCTTTAGGTAAGAACCAAGGAATTTAGCATGCTTACTACAGAGTTCACAGGAAATGACAAATAAATAACTTAGCCTGCCTTGGAACTGGCTAGGAGAGATTTTCCCCAGGGAACTAACTACAGGTTGTAGAAGTGGGAGTAAAAAAGCTTTCTAGAACAAGTCAGCATTCAGACCAGAGTACTTGGCTTTTGCATTGTGTAAACTGAGCCATTTTTGACTGGTGCAGATAGCAATGCTGAGTTCTTACACAGCACTTATAATTAGTGCATGTCAAAGTGCTTTACAGAGAGATCAGTTTCATTACCCCCATTTCATAAATGGGGAAACAGAGGCGGGGGGAGTAATGTGACTTGACTACCAGGGGTGTGCAAAGCGGGCCCTATTCAATTTGGATTCGGATTGGGATTGGGCCCAAACCAGGCACAGTGATTCAATTAATTGATTCAGATGACTGTCCCTGATTCGATTTGGCCAAATCTGAATCTGAAGATTCAATGCTGATTTGGAGAATGAGCGATTTGGACATAGACACAGCTTTACATGTTTTTTCTATACACCTTGAGGTACCCCCCCTTCTATACCCCGGGTGCCCCCCCCTTCTATACCCCAGGTGCCCCCCCCTAGACCCGGGAGGCACAGGTCACTGAGCTGGGGGGGTGCTGGGTGGCCACCCAGCACACTCTTTGGCAAACCCAGAAGTGGACTGGAAGTGCTTCTGGTCCATTTCCGGGTCTGCTGCCAAGTGCGCTGGGGAGCCCCCCCCCATGCTTCTGTGGGATGCTCTGTGTGCCCCGCATCACAGCATTCACATGCCACCTGCCACCTAGAGGTATGTAGAAAAACCATTTAAAGCTGTTTTTATGTCTGCATCTCCGAATCTTTCTGCATTGATTCAGAGGGTTCCGATTCGATTCAGAGAGATTCAAGGGTCCTCTGATTTGATTTGGATTCAGAGATTCAGCCACCGAATCAGGCCGAATCTCCGCTGAATTGAATCAAGGACCGAAGCTTCACACAGCCCTATTGACTACATCACCCAGGAGGTCAGGACTGTCCTGAGATGCAGGTAAGTTTGAGGAGGCTCCTCCTGTCTTGTAGCACTTGGATTAAAGATATTTCTTTGACTGAAGCTGACAGTAAACCACAAGTTTGCTTAGTTAACAAGTGGGGCAGAGTTTTATATAGTGAAGGCATAAGCAGGAGGGCCACAATCCTACTCCTTATCTTTTCCCTCCCCGCTAATTCCCTTGCAGGTATCACAGTCCTGCTGTCCCTGACGGTGTTCATGCTGCTCGTGGCTGAGATCATGCCTGCTACTTCTGACTCCGTTCCTCTAATAGGTATGTTTGCTGTCTATACGCTGGGTACATAGGGGTGATCTGGCTTCCTAAGCAGCTTTGTTCATAACCCACTTTGGAGCTGCTCCCTGTTGTCATAAGAGATTTTATTTCACATATTGTGAGGGGCAAGTCACTTCTTTTGTGCCCTATGAGCAGGACACGTGTGGCAAGCTTGATTCATCTAGAGAGATTTGTATAGAGGTGGCAAAAAGGCACTAGAAATACTAAGCTGGCAGCTGAGCCATGGGTTAATGCTCCATTTATGAGGGTTGACTAAGTAAAGTAAAAGGGACCCATTATATAAGGTGGTACTTTTCAAAAGCACTCAGAGGATTTGCTGATGCCCAATTAGTGTCAAGCCTCATGGACTGGGCAGTCTCCATCCACCCAGATCTGCTGACTTGATCCACAGTCAGAATTGCATCCATGGGGCTGCTCTGGACACATTCTCAGTGAAGACAGAGGGCTCAAGACTGGGCACTGGGGGTGAGTCCAGAGCAGTCTCCCAGGTCAACTTCTGGCTCTAGAGAGCTTCACTGGACTTGGGTGGATAGTGCAGGCTCAGCCTCACCATTCCCAAGATCTTACACAGTACAGAGTTGGCCTTACTCTACTCCCATTGACCCCAGTGGTAAAATTCTCTTGGACTTCACTGGCAGCAGAGTCAGGATGACACTGAGTACTTTTGCAAATCCCATCCAGTGCCAGATCCAAGCTACAGTGCCCTCTCCTACTTCATGAGCTGTCCTTCTTTCCCCTCACTAGCCAAGTTATCTGCTATTCCTCTGTTCTTTCCCAAAGACACCAAGTCTAGCTAAAACAAACACTGTCCAAATCCTGTTGCATTTCAAACACACAAAGAGACAATGGTCCAGATAGCCCCTTGTTCACATCTACTGCAACTCCACAGGGTTTGGGCCAACATCCATTGTGTTCAATAGCAGCCTTTCCATCCATTTTCAGTGGGCAGTGAACAAGCAGCATGCAGAAGAGCAGAATGGGCTATTATGTCCAATAACATTTTTTAATTACTTTTGTGATCACATAGCAGTTTTTAAATCCCACTGCTTATTTGTTGTATAATGTGCAACCCGCGTTCGTTCTTAAAATTGTTTTTTTTAGAAGCATACGGACTTACAGTTTTAGTGCAGTTTTGGAATCATGTTTGTGCTTTGGGTCATATGTCAATTCTGAAACAGCATTTTCCATATCCAACACAAGGTATGCTATTGAAAGATGGCAGGACCTGTCCTTCCAAAACAGAGGTCAAGGTAAATTATAACATGAATGCAGGGAAACTCATATAAGGAATAAAAGATTATGAGACGTTCATTTTATAAATGGGAGCCAACGGTCATTCACTGTTTTCACCACTATTTCAACTTGGTATAACAGGCAAAATGAAAATGGAAGACGTAATTTTTGAAGTTTTGTTCACACAATTGCATATGACTAATGTAAACACACAAATACCTGGGTTGCATGCATGAGCTGCTCTTTCAGAGAAACATGTTACTATGGGTGCAGTACCTGAATGGCCTTGGAAAATGAAGACACAACTAGGACTAGCATAAAATCAGTGAACGTATGAGTTTCCATACAAAATCAAAATCATAGTCAATCTAGTCCAGTCCACTGTTTCTACCAATGGCCACTACCAGATGTTTCAAAAGACATGAGAAGCAAACTATCTCCTAGAGAATCTTTTCATTATGACCAATGAGGTAGCCATGGAAATGCAAAAAGATCCTGTTATGGCTAAAATAAAGCATTACTATTCTGGTAGTATCAGAAGGCCCAGTGCTGGGAACTGAATGTCAACATGGCAAATGCTAGAGTCCTTTTTCCAAAGAGCCTATAAACTAAATAGACAAGGGAGACATAGTCTAGGTGAAAGGGTTTTCTCTGGGTCACATTGGAAAGCTGATTTATTTTAACCACTTTGCCCTCTAATATATTTTTTCCAGGGACTCAAGAAAAGGAGGGATTCATCCATATTTTACTAGATAAATGGGTTGTCAGTTAAGATTGATTGTATTTTGTGGGGCATGTGGGTAGTAATACCAATATGCCTACATGCAAGGAAGCTGCTAGAATTTCTTGAACATCATTAATGCACATGAGGGAAAATGAAAAAACTTGATTACAAGTTGTTTTTAGAGGTCAGATGCAAAGTAGGCTCTAGAAAGGGAAATGTGCCACTGTGAATTATGAATTATTTAACAGTAGTATTATAATACTGCCTGTAGGCTCAGATTAAGTTTGCAGCCCCAAGCATTTGATGACTTCCATGTCCTTCCCAGGGTAAGGTGGTAGGTAGCCCACCAAAGTCCTAAGGTAAGCCACAAATATGTTAGAAACTGCTCCATATCTCATGCAAGTGAACTACTATGGCCTGCCAGGGCATTGTAGTACACCACTACCAATGTAAGGAGAATGGCTGAATGCTCAGTCCAGGTGGCTGTATGCAGAATGAACACTTGTGCCATTATGACTATTGGGGATTGTGCAACATGTTCCCTGCACTAGGATGGTCCAAAGACTTTGTTTCACAGGACAGTCCTCCATGTTTCTGAGGCATTTAAAATGTTCTTTAATATGTACTAGATCTGCAACATACAGAATCCTATGTGCATACACAAGAGGGTATCAGAAGAAAAACGAGTTCAGCTCTCTCATGTTATGTAAATCAAACCTACAGAAAGTAGCAACACAAGCATTTTTTGAACTGCAGCTATGAATTAAGTGAGGTTTTCCTAGGCTTGAATGAGAAAAAGAACTGGATGGAAAGATTTAGAAGGCTCTATAATATGTGCCTTTGCCAGAGGACCTGGTTATGAAAACGGGCTAGGAAGGGAAGGGAAAACATTGGGGCATTGATATGCCTGGGAGAGATAATAGGGGAGACAAACAAAGAAACATATTGAAGAGCTCCTACCAAATGAAGATTCAGAGATGTGAAAAGGTGAAGCTGGGGCCTGGATTCAAAGTCACAGAAGTCAGTAGAAAAATCCTTAATTGGCTGCACTGGAATCAAATCAGGTTCTGGATTATTTCCTTCAAGAGGATAAATAAAACTTATGTGGAGAACTAAGGTTGCCTGAACATTTTCATTAGAAGACCCTGTTTTCAGTTGTGTATAGCTTTGGCAAACTGTAACCATTTAGACTTACAGTCTCTGTAAACAAATGTTTGCCCCTCTGATTTTTTTTAACTTCAGCAAAGATGATGCAGATGTTTTCAAGAACAGGATTAGTGAAAAATACATGGCAATACTTAAAAAAGAAAAAAAAAAACTTAAAAACTGGTTTGTTGAGAAGCTTTAGCACTTTGTTCTGTGGAATAAGAATTTGAAATGTGGCAAGGTGTCATGAATGTATCTTTTGCTGTTCCTGTGAAAATTCACCAAATGAAAATCTCAGTTCACCATGGTCACTAGATTGTTGCTAAACTGAAGCCAACTGGGCCCCTAAAGAAGCAAACAAAATGACCCTGCCTTGCCAGCTACCCTCCTGCCATCAAACAGAAATAAAAAAGGCAAGTAGTACTTACTGAGTAGAGGCCCCAGAGTATATGCCCAGCTGCAGTGTTGTCCCCACTGAAGTTGCTGGACAGCTCCTCGGAAAACTCTCAGAGGACTTCACTGGGGAAGGTATCCCTGTGGCAGTTTTATGCATCATTCAAGCAACTATATCCTGCTGTCCCTCTGCTGATCATGAGTGTTAACTCAAAAGTGAAGATGGTATAACACAAGGAGACCTGTCCTGGAATCACCCCCCTGAATTTCTTTTGTCAGAGGCACAACATGGGACCATTTCTAATACTTTTGCTGTGATTACTCGGCTGGTTGTATTTTTCCTTCGCGCATTTAACTGGTGGCAGGTCCAGTGCCAAGTGCTTCAGTGGGCACATCTACACATTCATGAATATGCTGTTATTAAGCACATTAAGTTTAGAACCTGTAATAACTGCAACTAACTTGATGTGCCATAATCAATGCTACTGTGCATTAGCACAGAGGAATACTTTTTGTGTGATGCTTAATGTACATTGGACTAAATCCACTGCACATTAGTACATTAGCATGGTTTTTGACAGCTGTGCTAATGTGCAGTAGAATTAGTCCAATGGGCATTGTCTTCTGTAGACACACCCAGTGTGATTAGTAGGTCCTTGGTGCTGCAGCTCAAGTCATGCACCCCTGTAAACTCCTTCCATGTATTGGTGAGGTTGAGGCTATGCTCCATGTGGTCTCTTTTGTACAGTGCTACCACAGTTGCATTTGGGAGACCTATGAGAAAAAGGAGTTTATATGACATGCAGGGGGTAGGACAACCCAGCCCCCTCTGTGTTCATAGACAACCTTTTATCCAAAGAGTCCTAAAACTAATCAACCTCAGACTGTCACACACTATGGCCACAAAGCACCTTGCAACCATACATTAAAAACAGCCTACAGCATGTCATAGATACAAAGCAGGGGTGACAAAGGTGTCAACAGTGTCCTGCCATAGCAATGGCAGAGTTGTTATGTCAGTATATACTCAGAGGATCCTAGAAAGAGGGTCATGCCTCAAATTAAAGAGAAAGACAAAAATAATCCTCACAATCCTTGCTAATCCAACCTGGGGGAAATTCCTTCCTAACCCCCAATTTGGTGATAGGTTTGATGATGAGTGAAACAGCAAGACCATCCACAGCTAGGTAGCAGAAATGTTTACTAGTGCCAAAAGGAGCCCCAGCACACCCCAGTCAAAACTCCCACATCTAGCTGTGGCCCTTGTCCAATGCCTCATAGGGAGGTTAAGAAGCCCGCTGATAAAGAAAACCCTAAAGACTCCAGAACCTAATAAAGCATTCACAGATGTGTTGGCAGGAGTCCTTCCTGGCTGCTACAGGCATCCAGCAAAAGCCCTGAGACATGGAGTTACCAGATACCTCCTGCATAGAGAGAGAATTGCTTTTCACCTTGCACCCAAATATTACATATTCCAGTTATT